AAAATTAAGGGATATGAAAAGGTAATAGAAATGGAAAATAAATAAATATAAAATTGGAAGCAAGTAAAGATCAGGAAAAGTAATGAAAATAGGTAAGTACTAAAAGAAGAACTAATTAAAAGCATACACAACTGTACCACTCTTGACGCGTGCCGGTGATTCTGGAAGAAGCCGATCACTGACTGTTGGGTTACTGGACTAGAAGATGTAGCTGAAAGTTATAAATGTAACATTTATAACATGACATTCAAGAAAATAATAGTCTGTGAAGCGAAGAAATAAAATTTTGAAAGTAGTGTTAATATAGATAAAAACAAAGGAACATAACGAAAAATTTAAACAAATTAAAAGAAATGAAGTTCTAGGAATTTATCTTGAAGGAAAGAGAAGGGACAAGACAAGGTAAGTAGCAACGTTATGAAAGAATTATCTATTAAAATAAGTAAGACAAAAAATTAGACTGTAACCCTAAAAAAACAAATGTGCTCTAAAACAAGTGGGTAAGCAGAAAATAAATTAATATAAAACCTACCTTTCCACAAATTCCCTTCAGTGATGATCCCGGAATTAATCGATTGTCGAATGTGGCTCATGATCGACGACTAACTGCAAAATGCACCTGAAACAATAATGTTTTTGAAAACAAAGCCTTGAATACATAAAAAACCTATATAAATTTTAGACCTGTTCTACGATAAAACATCCATAGGTATATAAAAACGAATAAGTATGTGAACAACCTAACGTATTATTGACAACAGAATTTTAGTGTAACTTGAATGAAAGTTATTTCGTCTCAACACCAAAATTACGTAAACAGGTAAAAATGCCATCCGAATCCTTAACCCGTTAAATAATTACATTAAAACACCTAAAGGGCCAAAGTTATCTAGAAATATAAGTTCGGCAATACTTTATATTTCCGACGAAAGCTCGTTTTATCTNATAAGTTTGTCCTTGTGGCATTTTAAAACACTCCGTTTAGACTTGTTTTTCTTGTTTGAAACTGATTATCGTATTTAAATATTGCTTAATTTGAAATTATATTCCTGCAGGAACATTACACAAACTCAGTTGTTGGACAGTGAGACTGTAGTAAGAGATCATCAGAAAGCACTACAGTTCTTTTCATCCCTTAGGAACAGGTGCAACGAGAACTTTTGCCACAAAAAGGTAATCATTTTAGAGTATTTATTAAATTTCAATTTTTCGTTATTACTCTTGAATATGATTTGTATAATACTAATAATCGCACTTTTGAATTTCATTTTAATTTAAAAAATTTGTATCTCGTTAGTCACTAGTTAGATTCTGTTTTACACTTTTTATAATTTGTAATTGTAAACCACAGAATATTTTGTGAAATGTTCCTTACACTTCTTGGCTATAAAAGTGTATACATTTTCCTTTATTTATTTTTACTTATCCTTAGAATACTTATTCAGACTTTCTGTAGTTCTAGTGTCCCACCCGCAAAAGAGAATGAGCCATTTCCCAATAGAAAACTTCAAGATTACCACGACATCGAGAGTAAGGAAAATAGGTATGGTCAAAATTCAGTCCATTAATTTCATCCCAACAATGACAAAAGGACCATAAAGAAAATGTAAGATTTATAAATTCTATTTTGCTTCACAACTTCTTGGTTTTTTGTCTTTATTTTCAGACTTTGTAAAGCTAATGAAGTCATGCATATTCGAGCTAAATAGAGATGTGGAGTTCAGACTCAGCAGATAATACCAGAACTACCAGAACATCGAGAGGGGTGAGATATAGTCACAGTCGAGTCCCTTAATCCCAGTTTAACCAAGGCACGAGTAACATTAAGGTAATTACTACTTATTTTTTTTCCAGAACTCTTTATTTTCAAAAGTTTCTTTTAATTATTTCCATAGTAAAGGAAATGATAAAATTCTTTTCTTTTTTTTACACCTCTGTATTTTTTTAAATATTGTATTAGTTCATTGTATTATTATTTTCTATTTATGGGTGTACTGTATGACTTCATTCTCAAAACGTTGCCTTTTCTAATTTACTCACTTCTTTCTACTTCCTTTTTATACTTTCTCTTAAAATTGTAATTCTCTTTTAATAAACTTTAAGTGTATGTATTCTTCGAATTTTCTTTCATACTTACTTTAAAACATTCCTTAATAACCATTTTTCATTCATTAAATCTTCTTTTATTTTAATACCTATTTCAAGCTTTAAATTTCTTTGTTTTTTAGTAATTAATGCGAACTATCCACTGTAAAAACATCTCGGTGATGGCCAGGAAACCCTATGGTGTTTGTAATCAATTATAACAGCAAGACCATCGAGGACCTTAAGGACTACTAGGGTATCAAGAAGAGACGAGACGTGGTCGAAGCCCATTTGAGTCTATCCAGCAAAGCTAAGGCAAGGAATATGAATGTAATGTATGATTTCATTTACTAATCACATTTCTTCAAAATTTGTTCTTTTCTTTAGATCTATTTATTCTTTACTTGTCTATTTTTATTTTTATTTTATCTTTTTTCTTACCTTCAACTTTTTCTCAAGTTTACCAATTTTTTCAGTTAGTTTTACTTTATTTATGTTTCTACTTTAACTTTCAAACTCTTTGTTTCCAGAAGTTTTTTTAATCTTTTCCATTATAAAGGTAAAATCCCCTTCTTTCTTTTTACTCCTCTTTATTTTTTTAAATATCGTATTAGATCATTGTTTTCTGTTTGTACTGCAAGATTTTATTCTCAAAAATTTGCTTCTTTTAATTTACTACGAATTTGCACTTATATTACTTTCTCTTTTTTTCCTTCAATACTATTTCTTAAAAGTATAATTCTGTTTATAATAGATACTTTAACTGCATGTATACTTCCAATTTTCTTTTATACTCACTTTAAAACTTTTTTTAATTACACTTTTTCGTTGTATTGTTTTATGTTTATTTTATATCTGATTTTACATTAAGGCCTTTTTGCAAATCTTTTCTTTGTTTTTAATTCCTATATTAACTTGATGCAAAATATTCCTTTTTTTTTTTAGCAATTAAAGCGGACTATCCATTGTACAACCCATCCCGGTGACGGCCAGTAAACCCTATGGAGACGTGGAGGCAGCTAAGCCAAGACAAGGAATACGAATGCAAGGTAAGATATTATTTATTAATTAAATTTCTTCAAAATTTGTCCTTACTTTTAGATTTCTTTATTTACCTTATTCTGCTTTTATGTTATCTTTATACTTACCTTAAACTTTTTCTCATTTAACAATCCTTTTAGTTTGTTTTACTTTAATTATAC